CTGAAAAATCGCTCTTTATTTTTCCAAGTGGTTACAAACATTGGTTAAAAGGCCCCAAGTTTCGGAAAAGCAACTTTTAAACTAGTCATTAGTCAATATTTCTTCAACATTGAATGCAGTGCACGATGTACCACAAGGATAATTCTCAGCAAGCCACATTATACACAACCCATAGCTATTTTCATCCCAGATAGATAATTAAAGAATAAACATATTAACTTTTATAACATTAAAAATCTGCTTATTTTTGAGCCACTTTCTAATATTGCAAATTCCAAATCTGTTCGTGCACTGATATTGCAAACTGTAGTCGCGATACTCTTCAAAATAATCTTTGAAAGTATCTGCTCAGTTTAAACAACTCACATTCCTAACGTGTATAGACTCATAATATTACTGGCATAGCTTATGATAGGCGTGTCTCAGTTGAGTAACTCAATACTCACATTTTGTAAGGCTTTAGTGGAATGTTATTTTTTTGCTTGCGTTGCTTTGTACTGTATGAGTATACTTCCATTTTCATCCGGTTACCAAAGTGATGACCTTCTGAATACCAGAAGTTATTTTGAATAACATGTGTATGTGCGCATATGTCTTCCTTGTTATTGTATTGATCTCTTGCAAATATGCATACCATGCCAAAGCAAAGGTTGTACAAACACGCAGTTGCTTACCTTTACTTGTAGAATTATGAACTCAATTCATTCGTATAGTGTACTTTTAGCAAACACTGAATGCGCAAATTTAAAGACGAATAAACCATGCTTCGACTAGTAGTTACCAATTTTAAAAGTCTTTTGCCTGATGAACAAAGATCTGGGCAAGTAATTTGTGGTCTTTAGAAAGTTTAAAATTATGAAGTACACAACTATGGAGGTTGTGGTACAATTTCATGAAAATCATTCAGAAGCAATAAAAATAGTAAGGAGACCCAAGTCTAAATACACCGAAATGTGGGAATTATTTATATAACAGAAACCTATCTTCCTCAAGAAGTCGATAGCTCATCAGATTAACCACTAAAATTTTATTCATTAATTCACAACTTCAAAATTCACTTGATCCCACTGTGTTTTTTACTTTACTGTAACACATCAGATGTAGTTCAGAATCAGGTGCAGGAATCCATAAATTGTTAATGAGTCCCTATTTTATACGTGATTACTGAAGCATGATTTAATGAAGTATATTTGTCCATTTTTCACAAACTGTGATAAAACGTCACCGCCCAATTTTATTTGCCGAATTTACTGTCTTCTGTGATAAATCAAAACAATAAGACTAATTTTTGCTTGATACTTTTTATTTCCCGTTGCTATACAGGGTTGAATTGCTCAATTTTTTTTGGTAGATGGGCTCCTATATGGATATTTCAACACTACCGGATATTCATGACGCTATATTCATCTTAGTGACTAGAAGAGGGATCCAGGATACGCGTTTCGTCCTATTTAGGATTTGTCAGCTGGATGTACCTGCACCCCGTAAAGTGTTGTTCTTACCGAGACTGGAACTCGGGACTGATCGTTTCAAACGCCAAACCATTATCCATTAGGCTACTGGGGCACGCGGACCACCTCTTGTGCAAAATGTATCATTTTTTGCTGCCTGACACTTATAATTTCCTGTTGCAAACGAGGTAGCTTCGTGTCCTAGTAGCAAAGGGGATAACTCTTTGGTGTTTCAAGCGATGGGTCTTAAAGGGAAGAATGTCATTCACTGAGGTCCACCTACATCCAGATGAAGAGTTCCAAAAGCGGAGGAGCGCGCATCCCGGATTCCACTTTCAGTCACCAAGATGAATATAAGACTAGTTTTTCCTTACGAAATTTGATCTATCGATTCTGGTTAGGTAAATAACTGCGTTAGGTGCTATCTGGTTCCTGAAGCTCGTATCTAGTAATGTTGAGTAGCCTTCAATCGTCCCATTTATTCAGCATAATATTATCATCAGGGATTTTCTGTATTCGTTTGAGTGGTTAACTATTTTTTAAACAGTTTTATAAAATGGACTGAATACAAGAAAACTATTTGATATGATTTTAGCAATAAACTCAGTAATACTTAATTCTAATCTCTTAACAATATTCTGTCGAATCTACTTTCGTTATCTTCGCAAAGTATGCATAACCAAGGTTATCCAAATAGTTCATTTGTCAGCAGTGAAAAGTTTCATCTTAGCATACTTGATCGACACAATACACCACAAAAAAGTAATATAGCTTACACAGTCATACACCGTGTTCCAAATACCATTGCCAAGTACAGCTAACCAACGCCTTCTCTGGGGCTATAGAAATAAGGTTGATTAAGCATAAACTCTGCCTGTAAAGGAAATAAGCTTGGGCAAAACGTCTCCTTTCCCTTTTAACAAACTATTCTACATCTTTTTTAAAACTTTTATCACCATCGCATTTTTTATACGTAGGAAAGCCACCTTAACATCGATAAAAGAGAAATCAATCTACTTAAAGTTCTAGATTCCCATTTCATTTCATGCGGAACAATGACGCTGTTACAACTGTTGAATCTCCTGCGAATTTATTAAAGAGTGTTCTTCGTGGAGATTGTCATTCATCAGCTCGATTTTCAAATTATACTGACCATAAAGACGAAAAGATAGTGGTTTAGAGATAGCAAGTGAAATTGACTACCACCACCAGAAATTATGTTTGATTTGATAATTTTTTTATACAACCAATAATATTCACAACAAACGATACTGTAAACAAACAGAGTGCCTCATAATTCACTAGGAGTAAACTAAATGAAACTTTGAATGTCTCTTAAGTACATCTTTAAGATGTTAAATTTTCCAGCCACTTATTTTAATGTAGTTAATTTGTATACATCTTAATAAATGAAATGTTCATTTCATTGTAGTACTGATTTGCTGAGTGTATCCAAATAACCTAACAAAATCTGTATCATAATGTATTCGGTTACTTCTGAGAAGTAGCAGATGCTTTGATACAGTCTTGCAGTATTTCACAGTGTATCTACTGGAGACTTGTTAAATGACCAAAAAGTGGACAACGAAGGATAGTGTTATCTTTGTGTAGGCTTCTAATGATAATGTTTTCAGATAAACACCCATAGCCAAGTTTAAATAGGAAACTCTTGTTTATCAAGTTATTGGTCTACTGACCAAACATTGAAACCCAGGCTCCAATTACGCTTATTTTAAGCGTTGAGTTGTTAACATAGAGAATGCTGGACCAGATTTTTCTTCAGCTTAGTCGTGTATTTAACTTTTGTATAAGAGATGCAATGAAAACCTCAAGTGAAAGAAATATAAACATTCTTTTGTTTGCACCATATTTCATCATAAAACCTATACAAACAATCATAATTTGAAGGAAGTTGTCGTTTACTGTGCGGGCTTTAAAATTGTTGTTTGAAATGAATATATTATATAGTGACTTCCTAGTGGATAACCAATTTATTGAGACTGACTGAATTATCCAAAGATTCGCAGCTCTATATGAAGAAGTGAACAATGTGTTTTCTCACATTACATTCCCTCAGAATTCGGAATATTACTACTGCATAGTGTTACTTGAATGAGTTTTATAAACGACATAAAACATGAAATCATTTTAGACTATTAGCTTCGAGTCTGTGACGAAAAGGTTCTCTGAGAGTCTGAACCTGTCTTTACGGTCAGATTTTAGGTGTAATGCATTAAAATGGCAGCCATCTTACACTACTTAGGTCACTTCGATTCAATCAGCAAAACTTATACCTCTTATATATGTACTATGCCTAGTAATGCAGTGCGACTGTGGGCGATCGACAGGACCTCCTGAACTTGAGTACTACCTTGTTCTCACTGCTTAGGAAGGCATATCTAGAAGCTCGGTAGGATCGATTTCGTCACATAGGTCCGAAGTCACTTCACACACTACTAAAACTTAACTTTATCGCTGAGCTATTTTGGTCATAAATTACCTCAAGTAAGACTAAATTTTATATACAGAGTGAATGTCTTAAAGTTTTTAATTTCAAATCGTCTGTTTCCAGTGTTGATCATATGGTTTTGATTATTTTGAGATATTGGTCACCATGTTTGAGTGATCGATAGAACTCAATCAACACACGACTAGATAACACAGACTTCATTCCTCTCCAGTGACTATACAGTGAATTTGATTATTCTGGAAATTGTTGTAAATCAACTTGTTACTGAAACTTTTTACATTGATACAAGCGAATTTTCAACATTGTTCGGGATCTAAATTTTAAAACGGTAACTTCCATTTTTTTCTCGCCGCATTGTTTTTAAAACTATTTTTCAGAAGTGTAGAATGAACATTACATTATTTATGATCAAACTAAAATCAAAGCTTCTCGAAATTGTAAAGCATGTTTCAGCAAGTACTTGGGGGTCTAAAAAGTGTAGATACTAATTTGCTGATTTTGTCGAGAAATACACGTATCACATTTATTAAACCCACCTTCTTTACTTCGCGTTGTCACTTGACCGAAAGCAATGCAAAATGGGATAAAATCTAAATGCTATGCTAGACCTGTCATTTTCAAAATGTTAACTACCATTTAGGTAGCCTGTCATATGTGATTTCCTAGAAGAAACTCTAAAGAAGCTATGAAACTAGGTGTATCGCTAGTTGACTATGATCGCCAACGTTGATCAATTAATTTGAGGAAACTCAGGCTTACTGGAAGATTCAGGCCTCTTAGCCCTGAAGTTAGAGACTGTAGGAACATGCTGCTCATGTCATAACCATTGGTATGATAGGTGTATGTGCACGAACGGGCCACAGAATGATGACCGATTTAGCCGTCATGTCCTATCTGTTAATTACTAGCAAACAACATTCGTTCAATCGACAGGCATGATTTCAAGATATGGATAGTTCACTGATAGTTTATTTTTTATTCATTTGAAATCACTGCTGTCTTCCTGTTAACCTGTTCCTACTTTAACTTTGCCAGTTCGTCCGCAACTATTTGTCTATTTTGTTTTATTTTGCTTCTAGGATTCTATTCCGCTACAATCGGTTTAGTGATTGGACTATTTGTCACCCTCTTAATAATTTTACTGGCAATCGTTTTCATTTGGTACTGTTGGTAAGTTTCGTTATTTTTCGACGTATGATTTGTTGATAACATTAATAAATAACTATTGTTACACTGTTTGCCATACGGAAAAATTGTTTTATTCACACTTTAGTAGTTTATGTGCAGACAAAATCAAAGACTAGGTATTCTTTCGATTGTCTGCGCTACTCTTAGTTGTTAGGTTTATATCTACGTCCATAAATGAATACTGATATAGAAAATTGATAGAAGATTTCCTAAATGGAAGTCAGCATTTTAAGTCATCAACTGCTAAGGTAGAGTTTTACCATTTCAATTTCTGTTTTATGTCGCTGTATGGTTAGGAAAACTTTACTGGGAGAATTTATTCTACAGTTGACAAATAAAAATGAATCATTCAGCTGTTGTGTGGCAACTCGGACCGTCACGTAGTAATGCCTGGTGCTAGGCTGATCTGGATGATGATGATAATGATGACCTAGTGGTTTTATATGTTAACGAAAAACGCTGTAAATAAATGATGTATTGTTGTCGAATAAAGTGTGTTCCTTACAGTCACAATTCAGTCCTTGTCTTCCGATATTTTCTTGTCTAACTGAAGTTTGAGGTACTGGAAAAGAACAGTTGCTATTTGTATCCAGTCCAATTGTCTCACCGCGTTAGTATCATGTGCGCATTTTTTTTTATTGTTCATTCGGTTACGTAGGAAGAAAGCATTTTAATCTTAGAAAAGGAGTGGGTCGCCCTTTAGTGTTAGCCTTAGGTCTACTAAAGTTTTTTACGTACAACCATTATCCCTGTATTCTCATTGACCTAAAAATATTTTTTTCAATAGAATTACATGTATTCAGCTAGACATTCGGTTCTTAACTATTAAAACCCATGCTATAAATTAGCTTTCATATTTCGACCTTTCAAGTTGAACACTATTACTAATATTAATATTTTTCCATTGGGTTCCAAGTTAAACATAGGTCTTCAGTACCACGCCTTCATTCCACACTATTCTCTGCAGTCTATTTAACGTAGAACCAAGACTGCCCACAAGCTTTCTTTCTTTTCTCACACGATCGCCTCCATATCACACTCACCTCGGACGCCCAACTCGTCGTTTTCCATTTGCATTCCACTCGGGGCCTAACCCGACTCGTCACGTTCTCCAATGGTTTTTTCGCGCCGACTCAGTGTTCTTCCACGCCCGATCCTTCAGGGATGTTGCTCAATGTCTCCCAATTTGTTCTGATGGCTGAAGTGAGATATCGCTTGTAGTTTTGTCCTTCAGTTTCTGTTCTGTATGTTGAACTTGAACTGTGGCCTATCACCAACTTCTGTGAAAGCTTTCAACTTGGTTTGGAAGGTTCCTTGCACTGGATGGCGAGTGGTCTGAACCTACATCTGCTCCCCTTCTTCATCTTGTGTCCAGTAGGCTGTGTCTCCACTTTCTTCACATTGAGATGAAGTCGATCTGATTTTTAGTGTGTCCTGGTGTCTGCTGAAGTCCATGTCACTTTGTGAATATCCTTGTGTTTGTGCACACTGCCTCGCCTCCAATCACCAAATCGTTGAATAGACAGAAATCTGCAAACAGTTCTCCGTTCTCATTCATTTCACCAAGTGCTTCTCGACACACGATGAGTTCTCTTCCTGTATTGTCCGCTCCCAGTTTGGCATTCATGTCACACCACCCATTAGAATTTTGATGTCACCAACTGGAGTGGGGTCTTGTTCATTACTGATTGCAGTTGTCTGTATAATTCCTCCTTCTTCTCTTGATCTTCATTATTTGTTGGCGCGTAGCACTGACTGATTGTGACTTTCCTTCCTTTTGAGTTGAATCTTGCTGTCATGATCCTGATGATGGAGGAGATTGATTCCCACTGCATGAGGGCCTTCGATGTTCTTGGGGACATCATGATAGCCAATGAGAAACTCAGTGTGCTCGTGGTTGTCGTCTGGGTGACAATATCGGAGTAGATTATTGACTCTCCAGTTGACAGTTGAGAGAGTCCACTTCCATTCCATCTGCAGATTCCTCACAGATTCCTAACACTTCCATCCCATCCCATACCTCCTCATCTCCTTTGCAGTCTAGCAGCCTTACTAGGTTCAAACATGGTGCGGACATTCTATGTCCCCATTCCTACTTTCGCTTTCATCGAGAGAAGAGAAGACAGATCGGCCAGTCGGCTTCCCGAAGGCTTTCACCAACTGACGTCATTCCGTCTCTCCGATTCCAGTGAGGAATAAGTCTGTTTTTATTTCTTATATTCTCTTTGTGCTTTGAAGTTTCGTTAGAGATTGGCTTGGCTTTATGGGGTAGGATTGCTATCCCTATGCCCCACCTTTCCTCCTTATGCAGTTTTGAAACCGGCTGGTAGTTGGCTTTATTTGCTTACTTTTCCGAAATGTATGAAATTTTTGATAATATTTGAAGCTATATAAAAGAACTTAATCGATGTTTTTTATTTTTGATAAACGGTTTTTTCATTTCGCAGCATACTGCCTACACTTTATTCAAATTTCACAACTGATCTGCGTATGATGTATTTTGAACGTATATGGTTTTTGGTTTGAATAGTTAAGACCGTTAGTTTCAAAGTTTGCAACCAAAATGCAAACTAAAGTAGTCTAAAGAGATCAATCACATTTCTTAGAAATTAGTTCTGCCTCTATATGTACTTTGTAAGATAACAAAAATGGCCTCATTGGAACGAAATTATTATTAATTTACGGTTTATTTATTTATCTTTTGACTATTTTTAAGTATTATAAAGTACTGTAAGTTATGCAACCCAAACAGTTTGAATAATGGTCCTCAGGAAACAACCTTCTTTTGGATGAAATACTTCTATACCAAACCGGTCATCAGTGTTTTTTAAGCTTTTTGAAAATGCTTAGTCTTGTTAATTCACTTATTTTGAAAGGTGGTGTAATAAAGGCGTTATACTCCTTGTAATAAGCTGTTTTTGCTCACTTGGTTACCTAAGGACAACGAACAATCAGAATACGTCAAAAATCTAACTCTTAGATGATAACCTTGCTGTAGAAACAATCATTGTGAGTAGGAATAAGTACGTTATTATTACAGACAGATAAATTAACTTCGTGTTCAAGAGTTATTCGTATAGCTGTTTAGATATATTCTAGCTGGTGAATTTACCAGTTGGAAAATGTTTATTAGTCAGCTAACATGTATCCGTCCGCTAAACCATTCAAAATGAAAACAAATGTGAATAATTTCAAGGTTGCATTAAAGCAAAACAGAAAATATTTACTACTTAAATATAATTTTGACATCTTTTTCTCTACTTCTTCGTAAATCCGACACATTGCAAGTGCAAATTGCCTGTCTCTCCAACTGCACACGAAGTTAGTATATCTAAAGTAGAATGTTTTATGTTTTTTTCACATGAGGAATACATATCTCTTTCCAGACTAGTGCGCACATATATTGATAAATGTGGGCTTATGTTGTCGAATTTATCTTTTCTTATATCCTATTGTAACAGAAATTATAAATTATTTAAATTTCGCTTGCAGAATTCATAAGTTGGAAGGAATTGTACAGTAACCGATAACTCTGGTTGGATAAACTCAATGTAGTAATGGCTAGTAGCGGGATCCAAATAATGTTTTCAATGCTGTTTAAATTTTCTTGAGAATATTTTCATAACTTGAGATAACGAAAATGCAGACAGTATGGTGCAGACAGAAGGATTAAACATGGTTCACCTTCAGTCTTACTCTATTATTACTGAAATAGTGATGCAGAGTTAGCAGTGATCGTTCACCTCTTTCAGCTTTATTACAACAGTTAAGGCCTACTCTGCAAAATGTTGACCCTCCTTCAGTCCATCCCATTTCATGTGGCCCTGCTTATCGGTATCCTGTTAAATTATTCAATGCCATAACTTTCTTTATAGAAACTAACATTGCCTGAACTAATAAATCGAATTCTACTTTAAGCAAATAAGTGGTTCCACAACAAATGAACATCAGCCTACCCAGCTTATGGTCAAGTAAGTCACCAATTTTTTGGTTTCAGAAACTACGCAAACATACATCGAGTAGCTATATCAATTTACAGAACGACAGTTTAATGAATATTTAGTCAATTTCTAAGATTAAATTTGCGCACCAGTTTACTTTTTTATTCTACAAGTGTTTCGGTAATTAGTGGTAAAGAGTTTAACATACAGAAAACCAGTAACTTAATTTAAAACCATAAATGAGTTGGGTGAGTAATACTAATTCACCAATAACACTTGAAAATAGAATTGGTGCTGACAGTGACCTCATAAGTGAAAGCCGAAAATATTAAGGTAATTAATATCTCTTAGACCGACAAGAAAACAACTTAAGTAAGTAATCGCACATATATTATTACTATCTCTGAATTATGTAAAACGAAATGACTCCAAAGGTCACAATACCAATAACTGAGATTGCCCAAGTGATCAGTTGATTTCATGAGAAACCACCTTTCAAGCAGAGACACCGAAATCTGATTTTTTATTTCAGAGGTTTCTTGTGTGGCCTGTAGAGTTACTTTGACTGCTACCCTAGCAACTTATAAGATAACCAATCAGAATTTGCTACTTTATGAAGAACTAGCTATCTAGCAAAAATCAGGATCCCTAATTTGTTATCCATGTGGTTGCTAAGGTGAGTTTTAAAGTCACTTGTTCAATGTACTTTATAATCTGACATAGAATGACATGTAAACTGTTCAACAATACAGGTTAAGCAAGCCCATGAAGTGTAGAAGCATGCACCTGGCTATTTATTTAAAGATTTAGAAACCAGATAGGTGACATATGTTCTAAATTAAAGAACATGAGCATAAGTTAGTATATAGGTGTAATCGATAAATGACAAATAAAGCTTAGCAGATACTGGAGTCAAAAGAGGCAAAGCTATTTTACCTTGTCTCGAATTGTTTCAAGTATTAGGACAGTCTCTCAATGACGAGAAAATATAGCCAACAAGAAAAATGAATGTCAAGTTGTCCAGAACTATATTCTGTTTCT